AAAGTGTCCTGAGATAACTTCTTTTACGAATTGGAGCTATACAAATAAAATTGAATTGCGGTGAATTGAATTGAACTTCAGACAGGTTTCAGAGACAGAAACTGGTTTGACCTGGAGCTCATAGACTGGTTCTGGTTTTCATCCAGACCAGTTTCAGACTGGAGTTCTATCAGTTTCACTCTGGTTCGTACTGGTTTTACACACATTGTAGCCTGATAGTAAATAAATAACAAACAAACTGAACATTTATAAAACTTACCAGCCGTCTGTGTGTGAGCTGTCACAGCTGGATGACCTGAAGGAAAAACACAGCTGCACATGAGCTCACATTCTGATCATTATGGGCAATTATTTTTTTATTTTCTGAAGAATTCAGTGGTTTAAAGTGATTGTTATTCTGCTGCATAAATAAATGTAAACTCTTCTTCTGCTACATGAATAAATGTCAACTCTTCTTCTGCTGCGTAAATAAATGTAAACTCTTCTGCTGCGTAAATAAATGACAACTCTTCTGCTGCGTGAATAAATGTAAGCTCTTCTTCTGCTGCGTGAATAAATGTAAATCTTCTTCTACATGAATAAATGTCAACTCTTCTTCTGCTGCGTAAATAAATGTCAACTCTTCTGCTGCATGAATAAATGTCAACTCTTCTTCTGCTGCCTAAATAAATGTCAACTCTTCTTCTGCTGCATGAATAAATGTCAACTCTTCTTCTGCTGCCTAAATAAATGTCAACTCTTCTGCTGCATAAATAAATGTCAACTCTTCTTCTGCTCTGTAAATAAAGGTGACTTACTGGAGTCGAGTGGACTTCTTGTTGGATCTGCTGAAACTACAAACACACACAATTTAATATGTTTGATCTTTAACCTCACCTGTATATCAGCCATGTTGGAAGGCGGGGCTTACCTGTGTCTGTACCTGTGGAGTCTGTTGCCACGGTAACCAGGTCTGTGAATGAGTAACCACCTGAAGTTCAAAACAACAACAGCAATAAACAAATGATGATTGACATCAGCAAGCCACAGACAGACAGACAGGTGTGCAGACAGACAGGTGTACCTGTGCGCAGTGTGTGTGTGAACGCGTCTACAGACTGGCTGTGCAGGACGACAGGCGACGACTCTGTAACATGATCATGTGACAGGAAGTAAGCACAGACAAACTCCTAATATTGTGATTGATGTGGTTGTCATGGCAACAAGTCTTACCTGTGACATCATGGCCGAGTCCGAGACCTGACGCTGGAACCAATCAGTACACAGAGTCAACACTGTCAATCAATCTATGGATTTATTAATCAATCAGTCCTCTGTCTCACCTGTGAGGTCGATGTGAAGACCGGTCACTGAGTCTGCTCCATCTGATGACATCACCATAACATCTGACGACATCACCATCATCATCATTAGGTTGGTTGATCATTTATTAATGAAGTAATGATGATTAAATATGATAAAGTAATTCATCAGGTAAAGTGATGACATCATAGCTGAAGATGATTAGCTATAATCAGTTAATTATTTATTTATTAGTTCTCAATGAAGAAAAAAGGTCATTAAACAGATTGACTCAACTGATCAGTCTATGAATAATCATATCAAAATCTGATGGATCAATAAAAGATTGATAGATCAATAACAGTACCTGTCAGATCAATCTGGAGGTTCTGAGTCTGAAGATCATTGAAGGAAACCAGTCGATCAGTAACTGAAAAAACAACACACACACATATTTATTTATTTATTTATAAATAAATAAATATTTATTAAACTATATTTATACATATATTATATGTATAAATACAAATATAAACTCAACACAAGTATTGATCTTCCTCCATAAACAATGTCACACTTCAGTAACACACCTATCGACTTCCATCAGTACCTGCAGCACCGTCACATTCACATTGATTGATTGATAATTGATTACCTGCGTTTGAGTCCATCAGAAGAGTCTGTCGACCGTTAACTGAAAAACACAAACTGTCAGTCTGACTCATCTGAACAGCAAGTTTAAATAAAAGAATCACATAATAATATAATAACATATAATACAGTTCAAAATACTTTGTACAAAACAATTATTGATTTCAAACGGCACTTGGAGAACAATAACCAGATCAATAAGATTGATAAGAAATATCACTGATATTCTTACCGTGTGCATCAGGTGAGTCAGCTCCATCTACTGGTAAAAATATAGAATAAATAAATGTGTAGGAGCTATTTCATTATTTTGATTATTATTATTTGTGTTTTCTTTTGCAGACACTAGGGGGCATTAAACACCACTCCAAGCATCAGTTAGGTTAAGGATAAAGTAGCAGGTGGGTCAGTGAACGCACCAGAAAAAGAGACACAGCATGATTCATCTGTTTGCTTTTGAAGTGGAAAATAAATCAACTTAAAATGAATCCTGTGGACAACAGACCCAATCAACCGATTAATGCCTTTGATTGTAAGATGACATTTTGATTTATTTAGAATTGATTTTTTTAAAGCCACTACAAAATCAAATAAAGAAAATATAAATCCTCCCAACTGGATGTTCTCAGAGAACCTCCAGAGGAAGGTACCCAGCAGGATCCTGATCCGATTCTTGAAACACCTCAGTTCATAGGTGAAGACTGGAATGTAGACCGACTGAACCCTCTGAACCACACTGGTCCAGTACAACACCCACACTAAACCGCCTGTCCATCTTGATACATTTTACCGTCACAGGTGAACAAGATCCTGAGATACTGCAGAGAACCAGGACCTCAGACTGGCAGTACTGAATCTCATCCCGGCTCTGAACCACCTCAACAAAACTACATTATCTGCAAAAAGCAGAGACGTAATTCTGAGGTTCCAAAACCGGATCCTTTCCCCAATTCTGGCTGCACCTTGAGATCCTGTTCATGAATATCAGGACAGGATCGCAACCCTGGTGGAGTCTGAAACCCACTGAGAACCTGCTTGACTTTGTACCGATTGTAAGCTTTCTCCAAGTCCACAAAACACATGTAGCCCGCATATTTAAACTCTCAGGACCCCTCGCAAAGAAAAGAACTGTTCCTCTGGTTCACTGGTCCACCATTCTCAGTGTCATACCCCGATTACTGGAACACACCCTTTAAAAATGGGAACCACCACCCTGGTATGGAATTGTCCCTGACCTCCATGCAACACTGAGGTGGCAGCTGAACGATGTCCAGGAGCTTCTAGACTACTTCCCCAGAGGACAGGTTGATGGGGTCCACAGCTCCACAATATCCCCATTCTGGATCAGGAGGAGCAGATTCTGTCCTGACCGTGGACCAGTGGAACAACCTTTGTATTTTTTAGGAGCAATAGCCTTTCTGGAGTTTCAGAATAAAGTCCTTTTTTCAAATTTAAGTTTGTCTGTATTATCAGAGTAAAAGTCTGAATTTTCAGAGTAAAAGTCTGAATTTTCAGAGTAAAAGTCTGAATTTTCAGAGTAAAAGTCTTTCTGGATTTTCAAAGTAAAGGTGTCTTCTATACCAACCTCCCAGGGCTGCAAAGTGGGAGGAGCCTGAGACAGAGCTGGACTGTGATTGGTCAGGTCCTGAGCTCAGAGAGGTGTGATCTGGTCCTGATTGGTCAATGCTGATGTCAAAGTGATGAGCAGGATCTTCAACAGATGGACGAGAAGAGGAAGAACAGGTTAGTTTTAGGTTTGACAGCACTACAGATAAAACAAACTCCATTATAATCAATTTACTATTGATCCTTAAAGGAAAAATAACAACATGGCGACAATCATAGATTCACACAATTACACTGCTGCCGAAGACACCTGAACGCATCACACCTGTGGACAGTGTCAGTACCTGCAGGTGAGTCTAGACTGGAGCCGCTGTTCTGATCTGCTGATGGTGCCGCTGTCACACCTGAAGTGATCACTGA